GACGTTGCCGTAGATAGTTAGTGTTTTTAATAAAAATGTGGAGTGGAAGTAGCCTGAGAGCACTCGGAGAAGGACACAACACAATAAGGCTCCTTTGGGCATAAAAAGGGAACAAACTAAATCCATCTGCCATATGGAACAGCTTGATGACATCACATGTTTGAAACGTACTGGGTTTCATGGGAATGACATATTGGGACTCTTCATTACCAGGGACATGACCAAAGTGTGTACGTGTTACCATGAGTAGTGATGCACTGTTCCACACGCCGTGCAGGTGTTTCAAGGGTCCTTAAGGAGACACTCAACATAAACGTATGGACAGTGTGGATACTGAGAACCTGCTTTTCATTCTGCTGTCAGCACATCTTTAAACCTGCAGCAACGCACAGTAAACGTTACCTGTGTTTAACGTGTTTTACTGCTGTGAACTCGTCCCAACTCCAACATTACTCACAGTACTTTTAGTTTGGGACCAAATATAAAGTGTTAGACATGTCATGTTCCAGCGTTTGGCATTTAGTCCAGTGAGAACTGGGAACATGTTCTTTTTTATTCTGTTGCTGCTTGAGGGTAGACTAAAATAAAAGCATTGCATTTATTAACAAGAATAACTTGGACGTTTCTTAAAGTAAAGTAAAAAGTACTTTTTACCATTGGCATTAACTACCATCTTCTTAAAAGCCCATTATGTTTGCTATTTATAGGGCTGCAAATGGCAGCATTGTGACTTTGTACAGCTCATGAAAGCGCCGAGGTGGGAGAACAAGCTGCTCGCTGTCACAGAATGAGCGAGATTAAGTCTCTGGGCCGACTTTTGCAGCACAGAAGAACACATCATGTTTTGGCAAATAACTTCTTTGATCAACTTATCACGGTGTGCCAACTGGGGTTTCAAAATAAGGCCGCGGCGTTCCTCCGAGGGTCCCCGCGTAGAGCCCTTTGATCTGCCGTTTGAGCGCCGGATGCATTCAGCCGGAACCCAAACAAGCAGCCCGAGAAGAAATGGAAAAAACAAAATCTAAATGATCGTGAAGTTGGAAAGGAAACATTAAGAAACGTTTTGCTTTCTCTGACTGCAGCGTGAAAAATCTTCTGGTGCTTTTCAAACGGAATGTTTTTCTTCTTCTTGTTCTTTTAATGGATTGCCAAATGACTAATAAAGAAATTTTCGGAACAAGCTGTTCCCCCCAAAGACACTTTTCAAGTTAACGCAGAGCGGATTAGATTGGGAAACCGAGCTGCTAGCGTAAACATAATGAACTTTTTGGTGATTAATTATACAGCAGCGCAAACGATCAATTTCGGACGATTACACGAAGGAAACGGCTCCGAGGTGAAAAGCCAGCGGAGCCCAATGTGAGTGAGGCATTCTGGGTCACGACACCATCGACCCTGCGAAGTCACGTACGCAACTCCACACAATGTACTTGTTCATACAGAGACACACACCATCCCGCATGCACAACCCAGACAAAGACACACACACAAGCTGCAGCCAGTTGTTGATAATACAGCCTCATTTGTCTCCCAGCGTACGCGGCAATAACACGCAGGGTTGTGTCGGTGGAGCGATGACGCAAGACGGGCAAAGACGAGTGCCAGCCTGCACCAGTGTGTGTCTGTGTGTGTCTGTGTGTGTGTGTGAGAGAGAGAGAGAGAGAGATGGAGTTGATGGCTCAGCCAGATGGAAGTATGCGTGTGTGCGTTCAGAAGTTGTGTGTGTCAAGAGTTCAGGTTGAGGATGAGCCGTCGGCTGCAGACGAGCCCAGTCAAGCCCCCCCCCTCCCCCTGCTCTCCCCCCTCTGTCTCACACACGCTCTCCCTGCTCTCCCCCCCTCTGTCTCACACACGCTCTCCCTGCTCTCCCCCCTCTGTCTCACACACACTCGGCCTCGGGAGGTGAGAAGCCGCTAATTGGCAACGGGTGAAACGCGCACACAGACGGGCGGCGGAGTGTTACAGTGACCCTCTCGCACACACTTGAAGGAGAGGCAGAAACTGACACGCTAAGGGACAGATGGACGTGGACGTCTGTCTTCCAGAGGAACCACGTAGCCTAATAATATACGCGCACTGCTCACTGACTTTCTATTCAACTTTGGGGTCTGGTTATAATTGGGGGACGCGCTGCCTTTTGATGGTTTGTGTATTAATAGACTCCTCCGTCGTGGCTTAGTGACATCAGAGCTTAAAGAGTTTGCTCTTTGGTCTTAACTAAAGTTAAACTAGACAAGAGACAGCACACACGAGCTCCACAGGATTAGTTCATGCACAAAAAAGAACTCTTCTGTTTACTATTTTCTGTGTGTGCGTCTAATTTATCTTGCATATGGCATTCAAGATGTTTTGCCTATATACCTTTTTGTTTTGTTATATAATCACTTTGCGCGTTCTCTACTTGCCCAAAGTCAGTTTTGACTTGCCCCTATAGGCGGTTTTAGGTTTCCTTTTGATCCATGCTCAACAGTAGACGTGGTGTCTCTTCACAAACCCTAATTCTCTATCTTCTGAACACGTTTCTGTAAGTAGGTAGACACATAAAACAAAAGCTTTAATAAGCTTGTAAGGACAGGACACTGATACTGTAGAACTAAACTTGCTGTGGTGTCACCTGACCGATGACAGAGATGTGATGAACCGTTGATACAGCGGTCAGGTCACTGCACAAGGAAAGAAAACCGCCAACCATGTTGACTATTGTTACGGTTTTGGGAGTATTGTTAGTGTGTGCGTTATACTGAAATAATAGTGAGTGACAACAGTGAAGAAAACCGAGCTTTTGAGGCTATACGTGTATGATAGAAATTAGGATTAGCACTAGCAATTAGCATAAGAGATTAACAAATTGCCGTCTTGGATTACGGCCGTTTCCATGTTGAATGAATAGAAGTTACAGTATTTGGAATTGATTAGATTACTGTAGAGACGGCGCATGTGGCTCGGGTTGCAGCCACAGCAATCTGTCAATCACAGTAGCCACGCCCCAAAGCATTTTCTGATTTATGGTCTATTTGATTTTAAATGCACCATCATTAACTCAATGAACATAATGCTGCATCGAAGAAGACTTATAACTGAAGATTGAGACACAATTGTTCATTGTTCACAATGTTTACTGAGGGAATAAATGAAGAGAGAAGTCATTTTTTCATACTTCTAAAAAATATTTTTGCCTCAGGAGAAGTCACCCCCCGCTAGTAAGAGAATGCAAGTTTAAGACACACATTTGCGTGACACACATTTTCTGATAAACACAATCTTAACAAACTTCTACAAAAATAGTTTAGTTCTTGGTCCCCATTATAGATTTGGCAATAACGTGTGTATGTTGATCTGTGTGGATGGTTCATTGCAAGTCAAACCTCTGGAAATCTCCGTCAAAACACAACATTATTTAAGGACGCTTTTTGGAATACTGGCACAACTGTCAGAAGGAACTTGTGTGGCTAAAGTCCCTCTTTAGTGCTACTAGCTGTTAAAACCTCCACAGGGTATTGGTGGATTAGAAAGATCCATATAGAAGAAGTTATGCTCTCTACAGCTAATCTAAACTATTTCAATTTTTAGAACTCTATGTATTTTATCATTATTTTGCAAGTAAGTGAGCTTTATGAAATTATTAGACAGAAATTCAAGCATGAAGTTTTTTTTATTGTAACTAATAATCAAGCGGAGTAGCGCAAAAGGCCCATCTCTAACTTGTATCAAACTTATATGTATAAATAATATTAATATAACTAATATCAAATGATCCAGTGATTGGAGCAGAGGGCTGGGCCTGTCCCGTACCAGCAGAAACAGTGCACCGAAAAGCATCAACATATAGATGATTGGCTCGCAAAGCAAAGTTAATGTGTTATTTGCTCTGAGACACCTAAACAAGTGCAGCCATTACTATCATCATCATCATCAACAGCCGCCCTCTCGTTGCACGCAACCCAACGAGCTTTCACCATCACAGCGCCGGTGTTTCAGCAGCCTGACAGAGGAAACAGCACACGCTGTGGGCGCTACACTAAGACACAAACAAGGCACTAATATACAGGCAAATACAACACAATTCTCCCTTACCACACTCACACCGAACAATCACATTTTTAAAAAGAGCCAGTATTGAAATTGATGTAAAAACAATGAGTGGGACCAGTGCTTTGCCACCATTCAGATTAATAGTCAGGTTTCAACTTTGGTTGCATGGCAACGCAAAGACTTGGTGGATGCTAAGTCCAACCAGGTCAACGATGAGGACGGGGTTAGGGTTAGCCTCCTCCTCCTCTTCCTCCTCCTCCTCCTCCTCCTCTCCAGATGATGATCACTCCCTAGAGTGAGTAGAGGGGCAATAGTAGAGTTTTTTTATTTGTATTTACCCAGCATGGTAAAATGATGTCTCCTCCACCCCCTGACATAGTTTAACACCACCCTGATCTGCACCACTTCGCCGCAGGTGATGCCAATTGGTGACACCTCGTCGTCATATATACCACGTGCCTCATTTGCATAAAGGTAACCCCGGGCCTTAAGAAGTGAGTGACAGTCAGAGGTAACGTCAACTGCTCGGTGTGACACACAGCCTCCCAGTTAGCTTGTTTATCACCTCCTAAGAGGACAACACATCAGACAGAATGGACACTCTGGCGTCTGTCTCCTACTCGGGGGGCGGGGGGGGGCAGCGGTACCCGCCGGGGAGAGGAGGGACGGGGCGCCGTGGCCCCGGCGGACGGATGGGACTCGGGGCTAGCCCGCTTGCTGCTAACTTAGCCCACGTTAGCTTAGCTCTGCGTTTCTGGCGCAGCTTGAAAAGAAGACCAACTCCTGAAGAGCAACTTCAACCGGCCGACCCAAAGCCCCCCCGGCAGAAAGCCCCTACTAGCGTCTACCCACATCAGCTAGCAAAAGCACATCACCCCCCAGCCGCCCACGTCTACAGTAATATGCATTTAAAATACATGTACAGGGGTACCTGTGGCGGGGAAAGAGTCGTCCGAGGCAGCGCCTACCTGTCACTGACGCGTCTGCCCGCGGTCGTGTCGCTAGACGTCCAGTCCCACTGCTGTAGTGGTTCCCAGTCTGGGGAAGCGAAATAAACGCCGAGCCTCGCTGCTGCACGGCGCCGGCTGAGCGGGCCGCTTTGGCGACACCTGCAGGCCTCGTTGCTCAGGTCAGCGTTGCTGCTCTTATCGTGGATTCAAAGGCATTTCGAATCCAGTTTTGCAGATCAGATAAATCATGAAAATGAAGGCGTTTCAGGGAAATTTAGAGCCGTGCCAGACCACAAATGAAAGGCATATAGACACATAGTGAATAGAACCTTAAACTGAATGTATTGGTCAGTGATGTGGGGATGGACTTCATGACAGCCCGGGCAGCAGCAGTGTCATGAACACTTCTGTTAGACTGCATGTCATGTGCACCCCCCCCCCCGTGCATCCCCTTCCATCGGTCTGTAGTGGCCCTCTGAGCGCTTTACCGGAGCACGACTGCTGACTAAGGGCGATCACATTTTTGCAGCGCAGGCCCCAAAACTCTGGAACTGCTGATGTCAGGTCTGTTTAACATACCACTACTTTCAAATCTATTCTTAAACATAGTCTTCTCCAACAAGGTGTTTTATTACTTTTTTGCAATTCATGATTTTTATTCATATCATCTATTGGAATATTTTTATTTTTTGTCTTGTGAGCCCATTTGTAACGTTGATAATCATTAAATTATTAAAGCCAGTCGAATCAATTTATTACAAAACTTTATTTAAATGTGTACATACAATATATTACATTATATTCTATTCAAAGCAATGTGCAAAGTTGTTATCCAAGTTATCGGGTTGACACCACATATCACAACGGGGTCCACTAGTGTTTTTTCACTTCCAACAGGTTAACAAAACATCCTCGATGAAGTTTACTGCATCTCCCCCCGTCCCCCCATGTTATTACTGTTCTAAAACTAATTATGGATGTGAATCCAACACGACCCCATCCACCCCAAGCAATTTTGGCCATTTGCCCCAGAGCCAAAAGAGGAAGCAAGGGGGTAATTTTCTGTGGCTGGAACGGTGATTAACAGCGCTCTGCCATGGTAACCATACTGAGCGGGCCTGGTGAGCTGCCGAACAAAAGCCCACCAGAGGGAGACTCTTTTAGCCTGTAATAACAATCATTAACCATCCCGACGTAGCCGCACAGATGCAGACAAAATGGAGCACATCTGGACCGCTGGCCCCGGAGGTGGAGGGAAGTCATCACGAGGCGCCGCCAACAAAGGGTCACTGTGCAGGGGGCCTCCACAAGATGAAGAGCCATTACCATGGAAACCACAATGGTGCTGAAGATGAGGGAAAGGTTCTAAAATGTAGAAAAACCTAAAGGGCTTGTGGAAGGGAAGACACCCAATCTGGACTAAAAAGGACAGAAATCCTTAGCTCTGAGAAATGTCACGGCATAAAAGTGTTTTTATTTGTCTTCTACAGGCCAGCTGAGGACACCTGGGCCACCTCCAGATGCAGCCGGGTTGGTCATCTCCAGTCCATCAACCACTCATCAGATCTACAGAGGAGACGAGGAGGACGGATTTGAGTCTTTATTTGATCCACAGAAGTTGCAGTTATGGACAGGGTGGGGTCTCAAGGCAATGCCTCAGCGGTCAGCTGGATAACCAGAGTTCCACTTGTTTCTGACTGAACGAGCAGCAGGCCAGTGTGTCTGCCTGCTGAACTGGGCTTGAACTGGACGGGGAGCTTCAGGTAGTGCTGAGACCTAAAAAGGATTTCGAGATGAATGTTGAGCTTGATTATGCAACATAGACACCAGAAACATGCATGTTCACATGGAAAGGAAATAGTTGGGCTTGAGTCAATGAGGCGGTGCTGGACCGGGTGACCTATAGCACGCTTTGAAAATTTTGAATTGCCCAATCATCATTTCCCCCCTTCTCTGCCTCTGATTGGTTAACAGGTTGGGAATATACGGCAGACAATGTACCCAACTAGGAGCATCCAGGGTCCAGCTGAGTTACCAGTCTTGTTCTCTACATTTTAACTTCAAATGAAAGGTTTCTGCAAACTTACTGCCCCTTTGGCAACCTGGTCTTGATTAAATTTAAATGTTCAAGTTGATGTCCATGTGTTACACTGATTAGCAAAAAAATGTAAAAAAAATAAAATAGCTTAAAAACAAAACAAAAAAATGTTGAACTCCAGTCCGCATGCATGTATTAAATAGACATTGTGCAGGGTGGTTTGTGGAAACGAGAGTACATGACAAGATTCACAACATGCCAGGGGACTCGCAACCCGCCTGCTGAGCCGCTCAGGGGAGTATTTGGTCTAGGAAGTTGATATTTTTAGTTATTCCGATCTCAATAACATGAACACGCATGCTGTGCCCATTCCAAACATCCCTCATCTGCAATCACGACTAGTAACTGGTGGCCAGGCGACCCCCCCAAAGGCCCAAGTTAGGGCAAAAAAACAGCAGTAATCTCCAGTGTGTCCCTCACAGAGTACGTCTCACACTATTAGACAGATACTTGAGAGAATTGGTGTAGAGCACCGAAAATCCCACAAATTGAGGCAGAAAAACAAAAGGAGGCACGAGTTATCTTCCCAATGCAGCACTCCGCTACAAGCGTGTGGAAAGAGAGAGAGTGTCTGAGGGAGTGAACTCACCTCAGGGAATATTTGGAATGCTTGATGTGGAAGGGCTCCGCAGGGTTTACAAATTTCAGCTGCAAGTCAATTAAAGATGCCACACATCAAATACCAAATCCATGCAAAGCCTAATGACAATTGTTAGGGGTTATTATATTCATCATTTAGTACAAAAAGAACAGTCGTGCAATCTGCACTGGCAACATTGAATATAATGAAAAAAGAGCAAGGGTCATTTGCTGTAACTCAGCGTATTATTATGTGGAATAGAAAGTGCTTCATGTGTATACAGCTCTTAAGTCAAACATTTATTTCCCGGAGAATAAGTGCGCCTCACCTCATGTGTGTCGGACGAGTTGTTGCGGATGTTCACCTTCAGCGTGCTGGATTGACCCGTCCGCGTGGCCGGGAAGGTGTACAGGTCCTGAGGAGCGTACACACCCCTCCGCACAGCAGTCTCCTCCTGGCTGGGTTACGAAACGTGGATCAACAGAAAGATGGACGAGCGTCTGAAGCCCAATCCACTATAAATACCACATACGGAACATGAAACTCTTCAAAGAATGTCCAATATAAAATAAGGACAAGTGCTATACCCCCTCCTCCCCCTCCCCCGCCATAGAGCGTGAACGGGGCCATGTCGGTTTTGCAACCGATAAACAAAATATACTATATTTGGAAGGAGAGTAGTGACGTAAAGGCTCTGTTTGCAGCACTGACCTGTCAATCACAGCAGCCCACCCCTCCCTCCTAAAGCCTACTTTGTGTATTTGACTAAATGGACAATAATTTAAAAACTGAACACCACGTTGTACTCATGTTCACTGAGGGGATGACTCATGTGACCCAGGTCTCACCTGGTCTTGCCTAGCGAGGCATCGGCCCTCTTCCTGGTCTTGACCGTGGCCTCGGTCTTCACCAGGGAGCAGTCTCCTTCCTGTGGTCCTACCTCTGGTCCACACTTCACTCCCTTTGGACAGAGACAAAGCTTTAAGATCCCGGCTTTTAAGTAAAAAATAAAATGAAAAACCATCTGCATTTCACTTCCAAACTTGCCGGTTGGTAAAATGTAACGGAGGAGACATGTGTGCCGACACCTTTCAGGGCTATCATGCATAACCGCTGATTGGGAGATGCATCCCTAGCACATCCTCTGCTAATACTCTGTAGACACCCTAAAGTAAATGTGGAACACAGCACACACAGTTCAGTTCCCCACCAGACTGACAGGTGCGTGTATAAATCAAAGCCTGCAAAACGTAGCAGTTAACACCACCACGGGGTTCTGCACTCACTTTTTAAAACAAAGCATTGAAGAAATACGACGACAACAAAGGCACCACTTAACCTGCTTCATGTGAAGCCATCTATCCGCCCTCCCCCACTCGCCGTGTGTGTGTGTGTGTGCGCTCTTAAGTTAACTAGGTCTGTCATAACACTTCACATTAAAGCGAAGCCTGCGGGCCCCGCTCGAGGGGGAAGATTGGGGAGGGGCTCCTCATCGTCCCACTTCTCATTTTTGATTCTGTCAAGAACACTACAAAAGACACAGTCAAGGCGCTACGCTGAAACGTGTGCTGCTGGTTTGGTACTAAAAACAAGTTGAGTAGTCACTAAAAAGTGGATGGTTGATGGTTTAATACGCTCAAGAAATGTTTGAAGCAGAAGAGTTCCAAATCTCTGCTACACACACTGCAAATCTACCAGGAAGGTAGACATGGTTCAAGTTGGTAGGTTTCGTAGTGGAGTTCTCGGAGGTTCGTCACAAGAATCAACAGATCAGTTTGGGTGGTCCCAAAGGGGAACTCGAGACGTGATATCCATCCTTGGCCTCAACGACACCCACCAAACCGCATTGATATCTTGCAGGCTGCTACCTTGGTTAGCCGGTTTGTTTGTGTCATTGTGCGACTTCGCCGCTTTTTAAAAACGGATATGTTGCAATTAACCACAGGTACGCAGTGACACAAATAAACAGCGTTTGACCGACCATGCCGATGCTCTGTTAGGTACATCTAGGGTTTTTGTTAACGGTTAGAAGAAGAAGAAAACGTAGCTAGCGGCTAAGAGTTCCTAGAGAGCTCCTCAAAAACAAACAAAAAAATTGAGCATGCAGTTGGATTAAATTAGATTGTCTGGGTGGCTAGAAAAGGTTTTTGCTTCAGTCCCCGGCCACAGCAGCACATCGCTCTGGTTGCCTGCCAGAACTCTGTTTTCTGGGTGCATACAGACAGTCGTTCACTGTGGATAACGCAACCACCATTCACAAAATACAAACTACCCATTGAAAAAAATAGATCATCGTAAAACAACCCAAGTACACAAAAGTAGCAGTATTTTGACCTGAATGAAACATAACATGTGTTGTCTGACATCTTTTGCCCAGTCAGAAAGACGTTTTTTCTCTGCAGTATGGGGGTTGGATTCCCTCTGAACTAATAAAAGGAGTCCTCACAGTGCCACACA